GAGCCCCGGCCCGCGGAGCTCTGCGCGCCGGCCCTCGGCAGCACCCCCGCGCAGGAGGGCAGCGGGCACCGGCACCAGAGCGCGGCCTTCCACCCTTCCCTGCAGGCCCAGGATCTCCTGCTGTGCCCGGGGAAACCCAGAGGAGCCGAGAGGCCAAGGGCGCTGCAGGCTGGGTGCGCGGCCCCTTCAGCTGCAGCAGCTCCTGCGAGCCCAGAGAGGTGGCCGGCGCCGAGGCCAGACGGACAGCGGGCTTGGGGACAAGAGTTCAGGCTGGGACAGAGAACTGCAGGGCAACTACACCGCAGGCCCAGGATCTCCTGCTGTGCCCGGGGAAACCCAGAGGAGCCGAGAGGCCAAGGGCGCTGCAGGCTGGGTGCGCGGCCCCTTCAGCTGCAGCAGCTCCTGCGAGCCCAGAGAGGTGGCCGGCGCCGAGGCCAGACGGACAGCGGGCTTGGGGACAAGAGTTCAGGCTGGGACAGAGAACTGCAGGGCAACTACACCGCGGCCTTGGGTCTGATCCCTGCTCTGTGAAGGAAACAGACAAATTCTTTCATTTAAAACTTTTATTGCGCTCAAACATCCTCAATGAAACAGCAAATTTAACATAAAGCTGTAAATACAAGATAGATGCAAAAAAAAAAAAATCTCTCAGGAAATGGTGAATAAGGACAACAAATGAAATCTCGTCTCTGAGCGTCAGCTGCTCTTCTGAAAACAAACTGTGCAGATTCAGCACACAAAAATAAGTAAAACCGTGACCTTTTTTTGGATTTATGGTATTTTTCTTCACAGCCTGAGGAGATTAAATTTTGTTCTGATCACCTACAATGGAAAAATGGGACTAAGTTTGGGTTTTTCACCGTGGCTCCCCCCACAGCGAGTCAGGAATCGTCTGTCTGCTGGGGAAGGCAGGCACTGGACTCCAGAGAGGGGGAAGCCAGGATTTCAGCCCCGGGAATGCGCTGTGGAACGAGGCTCCGGGCGAGACCCGCACCCACCCTCGCTCGCGCCAGCTCTGCTTCTCCGGGCGCTCGCCACCTTCCCCCGCCGCCTGCATCGGCGGGG